TTGAAAAAATTGCTATCTTCTTTCGATTTAATTTCAAAAGAACGCGGCAGCAGGCTAGACACAAGTGAAGTTTTTTTTCGAAAAAAGGATACTTCTTTTAAAAAAAAACCCTGTAATCTAGCCTCAGTGAGCTGTGTTTTTGTCATGAAGTGCTTAAGCCCTGACAGATGGCCTTGGAGAACTGGTTTCTAAGGTAGGTCTGCTTGGCCCCAAGGTAAATTAAAGCATAAAGGCCACGCCTCTAAATTATGCTACAAGAACTGGTAGTGTAGGGACTCTACCCACCAGTGAAGTGTTCAGAAGAGCTCTGCCGTGCCCCACGTGTTCCTAACATGTCCACAGCTCATGCTCACTGGCACCTTCCTCCTTTTGTGTATTTGGAGGGATTTTCTGCTGAGAAACCCTGGCTAGCTGAAAGCCATATTTTGTGGGCTTTAGTGGACTGGGAATTCTGGACAACTGATTGTAAAGGCTTCAGAGGAAGGATTACATGAACTCCATTCTCTACTGGTGTAACTCAGTGGACATCAATGGCGTCACACCAGCAGGAAATGTGTCCTTTGTTTTGTGAAGAGCCAGCCATGCCTCTGGCGCACTCTAAATAATAATACCAAATACCATGTCATGAGAATGAGATAGTTGTCAGATTTCAACTGGCCTCTGGGGTAAGCTTTTCAAGGGAGCCGAGGAGTCCTGTGGCACCTTATAGACTAACTGAAGTGTAGGAGCATAAGCTTTCGTGGGCAAAGACCCACTTCGTCAGACGAAGTGGGTCTTTGCCCACGAAAGCTTATGCTCCTACACTTCAGTTAGTCTATAAGGTGCCACAGGACTCCTCACTGCTTTTGCAGATTCAGACTAACACGGCTACCCCGCTGATACTTTTCAAGGGAGTGTCCCTGTCTTCTAATGTGCCTGACACCCACCTAGCGCAGTGTGGTCTGATATTGATTGAGAGGCTATTGGCACTGTGCAAGTAACTAAAAGAACATATCCTAAAAGAAGTCTTATTTCTTCTTCTGGTGTGGCTGAACAATATTTAATTCATTCAGTCTCTATGTGAGGAAGAGAGGTAGTGCAATTGTGTTGCACTCATGTTCCGACAGACAAATGTTTATGTCCAACCTCTATATTCTGGCCAAGCATACTAAATCATCTCTTAAAATTATGTAAAGCAAATAAATGCCATGTATGGTTGTGATATTCTATACCTACAGGCTGTATCTACATTGGCACCCTTTTCCGGAAAAGGGATGCTAATGAGACACTTCAGAATTGCAAATGCCCCGGGGATTTAAATTTTCCCTGCGGCATTTGCATGAACATGGTTGCTGCTTTTTTCTGGCTCGGGGCTTTGCCAGAGAAAAGTGCCAGTCTAGACGGGATCTCGCGGAAAATAAAGCCTTTTCCGGAAGATCCCTTATTTCTGATTTTAATTAGGCATAAGGGATCTTCCGGAAAAGGGTTTATTTTCTGCAAGATACCTGTCTAGACTGGCGCTTTTCTCCCGCAAAGCCCCGAGCCGGAAAAAAGCGGCAGCCATGTTCATGCAAATGCCGCAGGGAAAATTTAAATCCCTGGGGCATTTGCAATTCCGAAGTGTCTCATTACCATCCCTTTTCCGGAAAAGGGTGCCAATGTAGACACAGCCATATATTCTATATAGGGGAGTATCCAGTAACCTCCATATTCCTCATCAGTATATAAATGTGATATTGTGATATGAGAGGTAAAGGGGGAAGATTATCATAATCTGAACGTATTTTAATCTGAATATGAGTATAGAATCATAGGGTTGGAGGAGACCTCAGGAGATCATCGAGTCCAACCCTTCTCCTAAAGCAAGACAAATCCCAACTAAATCCTCCTAGCCAGCGCTTTGTGAAGTCACGACTTAAAAACCACTAGGGATGGAGATTCCACCCCCTCCCTAGGGAACCCATCCCAGTGCTTCCCCACTCTCCTAGTGAAATAGTTTTCCCCTAATATTCAACTTAGACCTCCCCCACTGTAACTTGAGACATTTGGTTCTCATTCTGCCGTCAGCCACCACTGAGAACAGCCTCTCTCCATCCATTTTGGAACCCCGCTTTAGGTAGTTAAAGGCTGCTATCAAATCCCCCCTCACTCGTCTCTTCTGTAAACTAAGCAAGCCCAAATTCTTCAGCCTCTCCTCATTAGTCATGTGCTCCAGCCCTCTAATCATTTTTGTTACCCGCCACTGGACTTTCTTCAATATGTCCACATCCTTTCTATAGTGGGGGCCCCAGAATTGGATGCAATACTGCAGATGTGGCCTCACTAGTGCGGACTAAAGGGGAGTAATCACTTCCCTAGATCTGTTGGCAATGCTGCTGCTATTGGACCCCATGATGCTGTTAGCCTATCATTAATGCATAAGGAATTATCAAAATTGTGTTGTATGGTTGTCACTACAATACGCTGTGGGGTAAAGAGTTGCCCAGATACTAGCTCTACACAGAGAATGACAAGGGAGATAACCAACACCCAGGTGGCTGCTGTTGAACAGATACTGTCAGCCATTGTCCCACAAGGGAGCTGCAATGGAATGCCTCATCTGCATGAGGCCACACCAATGGAATAGCTCAGCCCTGTCTGAGAACTAAGCAATGCTCCCCAGACATTCCTGGACTTGTATTCTCCAAGCACATGGACTAAGGATATAACACCCAAACACAGATGCTCACGCTTGGCCTTTCTCCTTCACTTTCCTGTTCTACTAGCAACCAAGTCACTGAGAAGACTGAAGGTTCCATCTGAGGGGCTGGCCCAGATCTCAAGGATGAAATCTATGTACTATGGCCTGCAATATCGAGTGTGGTGAGAAAAAACTGCTTGATCTAGTTGTTGCCGAGTCTTGTAGGGTGACGAGGTTAGACGAGATGGTTATATTTTATTTTATTTTGGTAATGAATCTGACTCTTTGCCTACCACTTAATATCACTTAAAATCCGTCTTTAATAGTCAATCCATTTATCTTTACCGGTGAGTTTGTGTGACATGTGTGGCCAATCTGCTCAGGTTTCACAAGTGCTGTGTATATCCACTTTCCTTTGATGAAGTGGTGAACCAATTACTACGTTAAGTGGTATTTTCCTGAGGTACAGCCCTGGGAAGATTTGGCACTGGTGCCTTTCTCTGTGTGATTCATGAGTGGATCTTGGATTATTCCTGCCATCTGGCTGGGTGTGAGATCTCCACATGTGGTTGTACTGAGTGATCAGAACACCCAGGCTACGTCTACATTGCGGGTTTTTTACAGAAGAAGATATGCAAATGGGAACTCATTTGCATATCTTCTTCTGATCCTTTTCATGGAAGAGGTTTAGCCATTAAAAAGCCCTGTATAGATGGGGCCATTTGTCGGAAAAAAAACCCTTTTGTACAAGATCCCTTATTCCTCAAATTCGAGGTTTACAGGATCATACGCAAAAGGGTTTTTTCCCCCTGACAAATGGCTCCATCTACACAGGGCTTTTTAATGGCAAAACCTCTTCTGCAAAAATGATTGGAAGAAGATATGCAAATGAGTGTGCTATTTGCATATCCTCTTCCTCAAAATAACCACAGTGTAGATGTAGCCCCAGAGTAGTTGCTGCTGGTCTCTATCCAGCCCAGACCAGACTGGAGCAAATTAAGGAGGCACAGTGGTCCCACAGTCCCAGCTTATCTTGGGTAAATCCCGTCACAATGATACAGCTCATTTTGCCTCAGGTGGATACAAATCTTATTTCCTGCTATTTCATGAAAGGTCAGGAATGCTCTATTATGTTCTAGGAAATAACAATTAATTTCAACAAAATACTTTCATGCTAATTGGCCTACATTGAAACAGAGGAAAAAGCTTGTTATAGTGATATTAACCCAATTAGTGAAGTTCAACCAATTCTTAGGCTATAAAGTGAATATAAGTTAATGATGCATTTTTCAGTACAATAACGTGTAGACTGTGTTATTCAACCTGGAATGTCAAAATGCTCAGACACCTTAATTAAATAGAGCTTTACAAACTTAGTACAAGTTAACTATTGTGTGGCTGCTTTGGGGTGAAACCCATTAGCTATTTTTTGCCACATTATATGAAAGAATCTGTTTAGGTTCAATTGTTTAGTTGGTTTTCTAAAAAATTAATATAGGAGGGTATTCAACTGAAGAATCACAGAATTTTATCTGAAGCAAAATGCAGGACAATGTAGCACTTTAAAGACTAACAAGATGGTGCTACATTGTCCTGCATTTTGCTTCAGCTACCCCAGACTAACACGGCTACATTTCCATCAGAATTTTATCTCACATACATAGACCAATCTGGGATTTGATGCCCTTCCTCTTCTTTGCAGTGAAAAAGCAAGTAGACAATATACTACAGGTTGAACCTCTCTAGTCTGGCACTCTCTGGTCGACATCTGACAATATTTGCCCACAGCTCAAATGTGGTCTGGCATGATATTAGTTATCCGGATGTCCATTTATCATGGGTGTGGCCAAGTTTTTCATGGTCCCATAAAGTTTGTTTACAGCCACCAATCCTGGCTCTCTGTGTTGTGTGCTATTTAGCTCCAATTTACCCCTAAATGTCTTTTAGGAGCTCAGAAAACAGTGGGAGTGATAGTAATGCTGTTAGACAATATTGGCCTCTTGTGGTTTGGCAAATTCTCTGGTTCCCCCCCCCCCCCCCCCTCCCCAAACCTGAGCCCATCATACATCTGAGCCCCCCCATAACCTCAGACTCCTGTACTCCCACATCCCCAGCCCCCTGCCATAACACTCTTGCATACCCCACACCGAGCCCATCATACACCTGAGCCCCTGCCCTGAGCCCCTTATACACCCCAACCCAGACTCCTGCACCCTGACATCCCCAGCCCCCTGCCATAAGATTGACAGAAACAAAACACAAACATGAATGCAAAAGAAACTGATTTCCATCTTAAGGCTATGATGAATGCTATCTGTACATTGAAACACAGAAGTCATACTCAGGATTCCAAGGTTAAATGAGTTTATTGAGATTCAGTGGTTACAATGGTATATCAGATACCTGTAATCCAAGCTACACCTACATATTTGCCTTTAAATTCTCACATAATCAATCTCCGTGTCTCTAAGCATTCCACCACCATGTCTTCTATTTCTAACAATAATAATATTTTAATAATAATAATGATATAAAAGGCAATGTCAATCACCATATTGTGCTTCATACTTCACCATAAGGAATTCAATTGGCAAAAAAAGTAAAACTTTTTCAATATTAATGGGATTAATTGAAACATGAGCATAGTCATAACCACTACTAGAATAGAAAGGATAAAATATGGATTAAAAGAAGCCTTTTTAAAATGGATTAATTTTTATCTTTGTTCAAAACCCACATACTATGATCAAGATGACTTAAAAGTTAAATTGTTTAATTATTGGGGCGCACATTCAAGCATATTGGCTAGTACATTTTTGCACTGTAACAGAAGCAATATGAGCTTTATGGTCTACCATGACACTTCCAGGTTTTTTCATTTAAATAGACCTGCCAACTTAATATTTCTTGCATGCATAAAATTTTGCTTTTCAGTTTACTATTTACCCCCACACTTGTGGGGCAAGTTTTTTGGCCAATTGTATGCTATAGTTTTTTTTAAAAAGTAAGCTTGGGCTAACTCCATGTAACATCAGAATAGATTCTTCTGCGTTTGTGGGTTGCAGATTGTTAATTACTTCAATAGAGTCTCAGGTTGCATGCAAATTGACACTGCTTCATTATGTTTTTTCCCCCATGCCAGACGCATACAAGTCGGCAGGTATGCATACAAAAAGGAATATAAAACCTTTCTGGGAAAGCCTAGTGTTTTAGAAGGAATCCATAGCTTTAAATTCACTTAATGCCTGTACTGGAGAAATGTGTTTCTTCTGGGATCCTCTTCTCACACGTGTCTGATATTCTTCTGGCTTTTCCCTCTTTACTAACGGCTTCTTTTCAGGGGCCTTCATCTTCCAAGATACAACAGGTGAGTTCACTGCAGCTGTACCATAGACCTTCTGGTATTTTGTCGAAGCCACATATGATGCTTTCACAGTAAGAACTACAGCGTTCATCAGATTTTTAGCTGCCTGGATGAGGGATGTAGCGCTGTCCAGCTGTGGACAAAAAACAGAATGAAACACGATGGGGTTAATGCTGAACTCACATCAGGAAGGATTTGATACAGATGCTCAGATAGGTTTTTTTTTTTGTGGAAGACCAGCAGAATTTGATACAAAAAGAACAATCCCTATACACATGGGTGGTGGGTGAAGGTAGGGCTGGGGAAAGGCAAGTCCCCAGTCCCACCCCCCTCTGCCCAGGCCTCGCCCCCACAGGAGACAAGCTGCCTCAGACCCCTCAGCACCATGAAGAGAGTGCACACCCCCAGCCGCCTTGACCTCAGAGCATGGCGGAGGCGGGAGGTGCATAACCCCAGTCTCCCTGGCACAAGAGCACAGGGAGGGCGGGCACTGGAGACAGAAACACTCATCCCCCAGTACTCTTCCAGTAGATGGAAAATGGGTGGGGCCAGGCAGGCGGTTTGGGAAGGCAATGCCTTCCCTCACCTATGATACCCACCACCCCTGCCTGTACAGGACACACCCTGGTTTGTAGCACACGTGTCCCAGAAAGAGCCTAAATTGGACTGCCTGAAATAGAGTCGCTGTCCCAGACGGTAGGTTAACTTTACAACCCGTTCAAAGGAAAATGTTTCCATTCTGAGTGAGAGAGATCCTCGGGCAGGTCTCCCCGGCGGCAGCTGCTCCCCATTGCATACGTTAGCCATTTCTCACTGGGCCAGAGAGTCAGGGGGAATGACTCTGAAACCTGGCGGTTTTTGCAAGACAGAGCTCGCCTCGTGTGTGTGGCTAACGTTAGGGAAAGGGAATTCTGAGCAGAGTTGAAAGCCTGTGAGGGACAGAGCGTACGCCAGGCCCGTCTCAGCATTTCTTATTGGCTCGCTGACATGGCTCCCCTCACAGATTGTAGGCTTCTGTTAATCCCCTCTTTTAGGTCATCATATAGGGAACCTGGGTGCCTGATTTGGGGCTGAAGATTTCATTAGGTGGCAGGGAACCTGAAATTAGGCAGTGAGCCTCCGTCCTCTTTAATGATCTAGCTCTAGCGTCCCTTGCTGCATCGTCAACGGCTTATCAATCTTTGAAAATCCGGCCCTACCACCCAGCACCACCAAAGCATTGAGGCACCTACCTCTCATTGAGGATCTGGCCTAAGTGACTTGCTAAATTGGTACCATGTTCAGGTACTTCTTTCCAAAACATCGCAGAACTGGGGTAAGTTCATGATTATTAGGCCCACCGAAAAGGGCGGGGGGCAAAAGGGGCAATTTCCTCGAGGCCCAGTGGTTCAAAAGTCCCCTCAGCTCCTGGATGCTACCAATGTGACTGTGACAGTTGTGGTGGCCAGAGCCCTAGGCCCTTTAAATTGCCCCCGAACGCTATGTGGTGTGCTGCAGACAGCTCTGAGGAGCGGTGCACTCTGGGCAGGGCTGAGGCTGCCTGAGGGAAGCTAATCCTGACCCTACCTCTTCCACCTGAGGTCCCACCCCTTTCAAAGGTGCAAAGCCCCCATCTCCCGCTTTGTCCATCGGCCTAGCAAGTCTGTCAGCCCCATGGCTTGCTATTCCACCAACCAGCTCTTCATTCCAAATTGGTTTAATTTTCCACTTAAATAACAGTGTTTTCAGGCTTGTTGCGACTATGTTAGATAAGACCATTTGCTGTAGTGCTGTTTCAGTCCCTCTCTACTTTCCCATCATTGCATGTTTAAAGAACTGTGTGTGTGTGTGTGTGTGTGTGTGTGTGTGTGTGTGAATACCAACATGATTTTTAAAAAAATGGTTATTTAAAAACCAAAGCAATTTCCTTCCCCACTGCCTTTCTGAGTGGAAAGAGCGAGAGGCTGTGGAACTTAACAGGAATAATGGCAGTAACCCGGCCAGTGAGAATAATTTATGAGTCGTAGGCGCATACACATTGCTGAACCATAGGCAGTAGTCAGAGTGGCAGCGATGAAGTGGACAGCCTCGCTCGTCACCCTATTCCTAGCCTTGAGTGATGCGTGGGAGAGATGAAGAGAATTCACAAAGGAGAAGGAAGCTGAGGAAAAAAAAGAGGGATCCCTCGCTGGTAGCAGTGAGGTGCAACCTGTAGCTTCTCCCTGGAGACAGAGACATGAGGATTCTAAGCACCAAAATGGAGCCTCCTAAATCCAGCAGGATGAGCGCGATAGAGCACCCAGATTTTCAAAAGGTAGTGGGAGTGACTTACACACAAATACCAGTTTCACAGCTTTTGTGCTCCACATGTGTAATAAATAATGTGCTGTACTGTCAGTGGCCCTCGTTCCAACATTTGTGCCATCCCCTCAGATTTCTGCCCTGGGTGGAAGAGCGATTGGCTAAAACACCTCACCTTGCTACATGCCTACGCTGTCTGGCTCCTTCCCCCTCTCTGGTTGCAATGACCTGGTTCTGCGTGCCTCCTTTTGTACCGCTCTTTGTTGCGTATGAGCCCTAGCAGTCGCAGGACTACTTTGTAGCCCCCTGTGTGAGGTCTTTCACTGCCTCTGCCAGGCTGTTAAATTAAAGCTGAAGACACTGGGTTGTCATTGGCATGGCAATTCATCAACCATGCTGGTGGAGACTAGCTCATCCATATGTAGCCATAGCACCCACACACACGTCATTTAGGTTTTAGATTTGTATGGCAGCCCTTTTAAGGGGGCAAATCCTTAGCTTGTTTACTGTGGTTTCACAAGGCATAGTATAATGAACTGAACCAGGGCCCCTGGAGCTTACTACATGAGCCTCTACAGCTTGAGCTAAAAGCCAGTTGGCTCTCAGCTAAGGTCTAAATGCCACGAGATGGGACAATGCACTACGCTCAAAGGGTTACATACTTCCCCCAGCTGAGGAAGCATGTCTGAGCTTCAGAGACCCAGTTAAAATCCAGGTCAAGCTCCCACTTGTAACACCGACAGGCAGAACCAAACCTGGGATTTCAGGAGCTTAGTGCATGAGCCTCTACAGTTAGGCTTCGTCTACAATGCGAGATCTTCCAGAAGAAATATGCTAATGAGGGACTCATTCACATTTGAGAAAGGGACATTTGTATTTTTAGAATGAGGTGGAGCAAGCAATCCCAAAAACTTTTGCCTCCCAATTTAGTTGCTAATACAATTTTACTTTGGGTTTGAATTTATTCATCTTCGTGTGTCTCCAAAATTGGTGATGAATTGCTAATCCATAGATGTAAGAATGATTTTGCACTGATCCAATTCCCATTTTCTTTTTATAACAGAATTTTAGTTTAAAAATGGCTAGTAAGATTAGAATGGCAGGAACATGCCAATTCAACAGAAATATTTTTCAGTAGAATGGTATTCAACTATATGCAAATTACTGCCTGATTTATAATGAGATCTATATGTTTGCTGGCAAACAACAGATCTCTATTAAATTGGGATATTTTAAGTTACTCCTGAGTGCTACAATCAAATGTTATTCATTTTGAAATGATTCTTTTTGAAACTTCCATGCCTAGATCTAATATATAAAGTGTTACGATCAAGGCGTATTTCTTTTGTAATAAATCAGTGTCGGACAGCCATAAGACTTTGCGCTCCCATGAACGCCTTTCAGCTGCAGATTTCAAAGAGCTCAACAAACTTTAATTTTCACAACAAATCTTTGAGAAGGGACTGATTAGAGGCAGATTAGAGATCGTGGGAACTCAGGCACAATTCAAAACTTCAAAAGTTTAGGCACCTAAGTCCATATTTAGAGCCAGGGCTGAGGATAGAAATGCGAGAACCCTGGGAAAGGTGGGTAAGTCTCCGAAAAGGGGTGGGGGCATTAGGCAAATGAGGCAAGCTGGAGGCTAGCTTCCCCCCGCCAGCTCTTCTGCACTGCCTTGGGCCCTGTCCAGGGCTCTCTGCTCAGTGTTTCTGTTCCCGCATTTTAGCCTTGACCTTCACACCTGCCCCTGGTTTTTTTTATTTGATTTGTCTCCCATAATTATTCGGTGCCCAGGGCTCTTTGGATCCTACCTGTAGGCTGGGGGAGGGTCCTTCATATGTGGGTGGGCTTATGCCAGACCACCTCCTCAACCCCAATAGACGCTGTTCTTTGCTGCCCAAACTTCATGACCTGGGGCCCCAGCAGCACTTTCAAAGGGCTCAGAGCTCTACTTTGCTGTCATGGCAGTGTTAGTGGCAGAGGTGGCCAGGAGAACTGGGCCCTTTTAAATCACTCAGCCCCGGGGATGCAGCCCCCTTTGTCTGCTCCTATCAGAGGTCTAATTATAGCCTGACCTTACAGATGTTTATACAGATGTTTTTACAACTTACCCAATGTTTTTAAGATTGTAAGTAATCCCATGGAGGCCAATGGATCTATTCATGTGCTTAGAGATAAGCGTGTGTGTAAGGGTGTGGAGGGCCAGGGCCTTCCGATACATCAGCACTGCAAAAAACTGAACAAACCTCGGAGTCTTGGAGCTCAGGTCAATTGATCCGGGCTCCCATTTGTGGGCTAACAAAAGCCATGTAGTAGACATTCCAGCTCGGGCCCACGACAGGGTTTTAAAGCCCAGAGTGGGGGGTGAGTCTCAGAGCTTGGGCGGGAACTGACTATTTTTAGCTCCTGCTGTGTGCCAGAGTCAGTTGACCCAGACTTACTGCTGCAGGGCTTGGGGAGTTTGGCATAGAATCATAGGACTGGAAGAGACGTCAGGAGGTCATTGAGTCCAGCCCTCTGCCCAAAGCAGGACCAACCTGAACTAAATCAACCCAGCCAGGACTTTGTCAAGCCAAGACTTAAAAATCTCTAGGAATGGAGATTTCACCACCTCCTTAGGTAACCCAATCCAGTGCTTCACCACCCTCCTAGTGAAATCATTTGTCTTAATATCTAACCTAGACCTCCCCCACTGTAACTTGAGATAATTGATCCTTGTTCTGTCACCACTGAGAACAGCCTCTCTTCAACCTCTTTGGAACACCACTACCCCCTTTCAGGAAATTGAAGACTGCTATCAAATTCCCCCTCACTCTTCTCTCCTGTAAACTAAATGAGCCTAAATCCTTCAGT